CTTTACCGACAGACCGAAACAGACCAATCACGACCGACTTACGTCACTTGAGTCTTACAGCCAATAACATCACGGCAAAACCAACCGATCATTTCACACGAACTGGAATAAGAACATTCTACTGACAACAATCATTCACTTGACTCTGATGATGACTTCCGCACAGGTTGTCGAAACGTCAGTCACTGCCACCGACAACAGTCCTTCTCAGGACTACACTCACCCGGACGATCAGACTACACCTTAACAGTTCTTCTGTTGTCTCCGGTTCTAATATACACAAAGTACAAAGTTGAATTGGAAATGTATAACAAAATGCTCAATGGACAAAGAAACAATCCCTCGTAACCTTCGTACATGTGTGATTTACAAGTTTTTATGTGCTGGCTATAATGCCTGCTCTATTGGTGAAACCTCTCGACATTAATTATCCACACTTATGCGTGAGCACGTGATCAGTGATAGAACCTCTCACATTTTCACACATTCTCGAAATTCTGAACAATGTCACACTCTATGTTCTGATGAGTGTTTTGGCATCTTAGATAACGCCTTCACAACTCTCCATCTTAAATTCCAAGAAGCTATTCGCACTTAATGGGTGTAGCCTACACTTAATCATCATCATTATCATGCTCATTTAAAATTTCTCTTCTAATTGCTACATTTTTTTTTCTCTGTTGTTGTTTTGACCATTGTGTGATACACTTTAAATTCAGTCTTGTACTTTGTGTAAAATGGAACTAAAGATGACGGAAGATATTTTCCAGTATATCGTGTTTCCTCCAGTTCAAGGTTGAGACACAATGTAACCCGGATCGATGCTTTTTGAATATCGGCCCCAGAAAAACCGGTAGAAAAGCAATTATCTGTATGTCAGTGGCTTCATTTTCGTCCACGATATTGTTTCGCGATAAATTGTAGGAATTTAAGACCTCTTAACATGTTGATTAAGTTGTTGCTTTTTTTTTTGGAGATAAAGTTACATTAATTTTAAACCTTGGCTTTCTGCACGAGATTTTCGATTGAATCGATTCAAAAGTATTTATATCTTTGTTTTTATTAATGATCGATGATATACATGTAAATTTTATTTAAAACAAATTTACTAAGCTTTTCTTTGCCTCCAATCGCCACCAGCACAGTCATAATCACTGTATTAACACAAAATGAGACGAATAGCAATTCCGATTTGTTCGTGATAATCTTGGAAAAAATTGCAAATAATTTCCTCTCTTAACATTTACTCATGACAGGAAGGAAAATGCGTGCACTGTAAGTACTTCCTGTTGTCCCATACAAAGCCTTAGAAAACTTTTCTAAAGCTTTGTATGGGGCAATAGGAGGTACTTACAGTTCACACATTTTCCGTCCTGTCATGTTAGTTTACAACAAAGCGTTTGACAAACAAGAAAACCCTGAAAACAATCAAACATCTCGGATATGTTACAATTTATCAATATGACAAGACTCCTTACCTGAAGTCTTTTCGATTTCTTCTGCAATAATTTCGACTTTTGCCGGGTCACTGAAAGATAGGAGCCAGAACAAGTGATAGGGACGTTCAATTAAATTCACAAGCTCAGGAAAACGGACAGCATCTCCAACAGCAATGACGACAATTTTAACGCTTTCCTCTTGGAGTGACTCAGCGGCAGAGGAAAGAACCGACGACGTCTCCTCTCTAACGCTTTCCCGAGCTTGCTCTCCAGATGTTATCAACAGTAGATAGCGTTCTCTTTCTTCGTAAAAATGGTTGACATTTCCAGCTCCATTTTGAAGTGAAAATTCTTTTTTCGCGTTAGTAAGAGCTAAGTCCATTCTTCTACCTCTGCTAGGAAAAGAGGGCTTTTTCTTTTTTTGCAGTTCCTTCCATTTTACATAAAAGTCTTCTGAGGGTTGAATCAGTGTCTCGACACTGTCTCCATATGCAATCAACGCGCTTCTTGTAACATTTAACTGCTCTTTCAACAACAGAACAAAGTCCATTTGCGCCGCAAATTCCTTCTCAGTAACATCTGATGAAGAGTCAATGGCAAATACAATCTCTGTAAAAAACAACAACAACAGAAAAAAACATTTTAATCGACTATTGGCTCAACTCAATCTTGATTCTACAAAAGGGTGACAAGTAAGCGCATTTTTTTGGAATTTGCTCTATTGAGCTTACATTTATTTGATTAAGTAAACAACATTTAACTACATTGTTCATAAATAGCCCAACCAGTCTGTTGCTGCACCGGGTATACCTAGAAGAGATGCTATCTTTCCCTGTATGCATGCTTGAGGTATTACAAATGAAAAGCACTCTAGATCTGTCTTATCAACATTAACCTTTCCGTATGATGCACGATCCTCGCAGTCGATAGCGCTATTTATGCAATCGCGAAAATCAGACTTGAAAAAAATCAGGCCTGTACGGGATTCGAACCACTGACCTCTGCGATACTTGTGCAGCGCTCTACCAATTGTGCTAACAAGCCAACTGGGAGCAGGCCGTTAAGTTGATTCGTAATAAACCCGTGAAAGTGATAAATGAGATACAATGAATATATGAAGTTCATATATTTTGAACTGCGGTATTAGATACGTATGATGCACGATCCTCGCAATAGATAGCGCTATTAATGCAATAGCGAAAATCAGACCTGAAAAAAATGGACCTATAAATGGAGAGTGTTGTTTGGATGGAAACAGCCGTTCTAGGGGAGTTGACCGTTTCGTGGTTTCCCAAAGGCGAATAATGTGCATGCTAAATATTTGAAAAGATGAGAGAATTTTTCATCCAGTCGAGGATGTCACTTATCACCCTAAGAATGTGATAGGAATACAAAACTGACCTTTACTACGAGAAGGTAAAGTAACGCCAGAGGATACTGAGGTTTGTGCTTGGAGCTGAATATCTCTGCTTTCCACAGGATTTGATTGGTCGTTTGCTTTCCTTCCTCCACCTTGAATTCAATGCATCAATTCTAATCAGTAACGCATCCAGCAATGATGTCTAAGTTAACTTGCATTTTAGGAAATAATTTTGGTATACAGTTACTATAACTTTTCTCATACATGTACATAAACAACATACTTGACTCTGGCTATTAACAGCATTAGAGGGTGAACTAATTTGGTGCTCTTCTTGGTGTACACTTTACCAAGACTTGGTGACTGCTTTGCTTTACCAACATTTTTGGTGGGGATGGGGGAGGTTCTGCGTTTATATATCTTCACGTTATAACCTATCTTTCTTCATTGAAAAGAACTAGAAGATATGATATCCTAGAAGTAATCATGCTGGCCTAAGAGGCAGAATGTAGAGGGTCCAGGAAATGAAGAGCTCTCTGTGACTGGCCTAGCTATGCATGGAATGTTGTTCAGACGAAAACGACCGATACCACGTCACAGGGTTGACCGTCGCGTGGTATCCATTTTCGATAAAACCCGGTAATGCTGTGTATGCCAAACTATTTCAGACTTTTTTTGTGCAGACCAGTAAATTTCAGTTTTAACACCCAACTAACCTTCATTACGATTAGGTGGAAGTGCACCAGACCCTTCTGAGGCTGTTTTTTCCGTGGAGGTTTCTGGTTTGTGTTTACCATCATTGCTCTCCACGGGCCTGGTATTGCCGCGGCCGTTTCTTCTTTTACCTTTAATTCAACACACTGATTCTTATCAACAGTAAATTTTCGTTATTTATGAAAGCTTGATTTAACCGGTATTTCACAAACTGCTTTAATACAATGATTTTACTTAATAATGTGTCTTAATGAATGCACGATTGTCTGGTTGTAAAAGGCATCAGTTGTGGTCACTAAGTTGTGCTTGGCATTATTATTGCTTCAATAAAAGTAATTGGTCTAGTTGCATAATTATATGTAAGCGACAACCTTTTAGGTTGTCATATATAACAACTTACTTTGACTATGAGTGGGAAGAGTGGAACCAGAGGCTTCTGAAGCTGTTCTTTTTGTGGAGGGTTTTGGTTGGTACTGGCCATTATTACTGTCCTCAGGACTGTTCTCAAACCACACTTTCTTTCCTTTACCTTGAATTCAACGCACCAATTGTAATCAATTACTGACATCAATTTATGATGGCCTTAGTTAAGCTGACTCCCCAAAGCCCTTTGGTCCCATTACTATGAAAGTCCACCGAGAGACCATCAGTTAAAACTAACTCTTGAAGGGGGCGAGTTTGGATTTTCCAAATAAATTCCCAGTCATTCTAGCCACATCTTGCAAACCATGAAGGGGCAAGAAGACTGGACCAAGGAGACTGTATAAATATCTGCAGGTAGGTTTTCTTTATGGGATTAAAAATCTGATACCCTTTTGAAACGAGCAGAGAAAATAATCAATTTCAACTTTGTGTGCTTCAGCTGAGTTCTAGGTAAGTACATTTTCTTCTCTTCCCTATCAGTTGATCCATTATCCAAATACGCTTTTAAAACCTTTGAATAAAGGTCCCTTGGGTGAGGGATTCTCAGAGAAGTGATAGTTTCTTCTTCATTCAAAAGGGAGAAAACTGGGGATGTGCGCCTCTGTAAATGAACACGCTGGGCTAAGGATGCAAAACGTACCAATTGAAATTGTGGCTGGTGTTATTGTGTTATGTTCATTCATAACATTCCTATCGAGGAGCTATAATCACCGACTACCGATAGAATTACAAGGCAAGCTGGTAAAATGCAATGATGTGGGATACTACCTGGAATGAGCTACATGTAGCAGCAACTCGCACCCAAAGCAACTAGCAATAGTCACTTCTCCTAGTCACTTCAAGCCGGAGAAACCAAAATATAAGATTCCTTAACAAGGAACACTTACGTTCATACTCAGTATTTGACCATTTTAAACAGCACTGTATATTTGCAAAGCATTGTATAACAAATGTACTTTAAAAGTGAATTATAGATATTATGATTTCCTGCTATCCGGGACAACGTATTCTCTCAATAATAAATAAATTCATTATAAAACATCAACGAAGATTTAAGGCAGATATCATCTAGTCACGAGTAACAAAAGCACATCGAACAAGACTTTTCCGATTCTTAACCTTATCTATTACGAGATTGATAAAGGTACAAGAAAAAACTAAAGAGCCGACCATTGAAGTTAGAAATTAAGGTAATTCGCCTCGAGCAGGATAGCCCGATTAGTTAACGACTTTCTGGATTACTCAAACAGGCTAAGAAACTCTCTTGCTTATTCATGACAATCTTTCGAATCAAAAGCCTACTAAGAACCGAGCTTAGAAATTCTAAAATGGGATTTCGTTGATGACTTGACATTTTTATTCCTAAAGGGATCCCAACTGAAAAAGAAAACAGTCTCTGGTGAATTTTGTAGGGAGGCTTCAGAAAGGAAACGCTCTCTGCGATTGGCCTGTGTATGAAAAGGAATGCTATTCAGACAGAATGGACGATTCCTGGGGTTGAACGTTACGTGTGTTATGTAGAGTGACTAAATATAAGTATCTAGGATTCACTGCAATGCATAAAATGTAGTCATGCTGACTTGCATACATGAACTTTCTATGGAACTTTCTTGAAAATTCTTTCAGATTGTGTCCTAATGATGCAATACTACCCAAATAGTTGTGTTGTAAGCCTCTGTAATGTACTGGAATGCTTTGTAAATTTACATAAGGAATAGTTCGCATAGTAGAGGTAGTCGATGTTATCGTGGGTGATCTATTGTTTGGAAAGCTATACCAAGAGATAGAACTGCTGTAGAAGGTTGTTCATTTTAAAGAGCGTTGGAGTAAACCTTGAGTCTGTGCAGCGCTGTGCTAAGATACAGTTTGTAGAGGGCTTACGTAAGCTATTGAGGATAATTTAAAGTTCCTATTAAAGTCGCTCCTAAGTGGGAATGCTAGAAGTTGTTAAATAAAGTATTTGAGTTTGTAGGGCTGTAGTGGTTTTCTGTCAATTGAATCATATTGTAACACGTGGTATCTCAAACAAGGACTGCTGAGGAGACAATTGAGTAAAGCAGTATACTTTGTCTTGTATACTTAGGTCCATTTTCGAAAATTCGAGTAAGTTTGTGTATACCAAGCTATTTCAAAAGATTAGACATCTTTGGACCAGCTGATAGAGTACATGTTGGTTGTAATACACAACTCACCTTTAATATGTTGAGGTGAAGTTACACTAGAAGCTTCTGAAAAATTTGTTTCCATGGAAGTTTCTGGTAGTTTGTGTTTACCATTAATGCTCTCCACAAGCCTGGTATTGTCATGTCCTTTCCCTCTTCTACCTTAAATTCAACACATCAATTCCTATCAACCACTTTCGTTGAATTATAAAAGTTTGATTTAAATGGCATCAAATTAGCACCTAATTTCTTCCTTTTACCTTGAATTTAACCCATCAATTCTCATTAATCACAAAACCGGACTCACCGCGAACCAGTTTAAAACAAGATGCCGCAATCACACGGCTTCATTTAGAAATGAGAATAAAAGGAATGCAACCAAGTTGAGCAAACACATCTGGTCCCTAAAAGTACAAAAACCTAATTTGCTGTAACCTGAAAAATAATAGCTTGAGTCGGAATGTATTCAAATCTGACAAAGAAATGCAACCTGTACATCATGGAATAATTCTTCAGGAGAAAATGAGAAAAGTTTGTAAACCAGGAGGCGCAGCTTTCTGATTTGAATTTGATGGTAACTGAACCTCAAATGCGGACAAATTGTTTTGAAGAATTCAGGTATTAAGTGAATGAGAGTCACATTAATTAGTGTGAATTTTAACTGCAAATTTTTACCATAACCTTTTGAACTACTTGTTGTGAAGGATTATTAAATTACAAATGGTTTTTAAGGCCGCGTGTCAACCTTTCAAAAGAAAATTTTGTGCCACTTCTAGCACCTATGCATAGAAATAGACTTTACGTGGCTACTGCTAAAGCGGAATTTTTTTAGCGTTAAAAAGAACTAAAAGCTGTTTAATGATGCTAGAAGGTAATTACTGAATATTTGTCTTATGTGCAAAACAGAAACCTGCCGCATCCCACATATTTATGAGTATCCTGTTTCACGAAAAAAAGATGATTCAAGAATAAATGAATGAATTAACATTGAATTAATGAATTAATTAACATTTATATAGTGCAAATTAACATGTGGATATGATCAAATGCGCTTTACAATACTTTGCGGGGGACTTTACGAGATTGCCAGTGGCAGTTAACAATCAAGAAAGGCGAATTATTTACAGATGCCCCCTCCCCCCAATTCCCAGTAACCAGGCCAGACCAAATCACAGTAATCTTGGGATGTGCGTTCTTTAACGTCCCCTGCCTGATCAAATTATATTTATCTAAGTAAAGATGCAGGAGCCGAGACCTACGGATTATTCGTCCTTATCAGAGAAGACTAGAATGTCTGTCCATTTCTTGATATAAATAAATCGTCTAACTGACATTCAACCAACAATTAAATGGTAACAAATAATGGTATTAACAATATTACTAATAATAACAATAGCAATGTAATAATTATTTAAAGGAGCTAGCTCGAAAGCCTCGTAGTTCCCCAATCCTTTGGGCCCCAAAAAAGATGAACTACAGGTCTTCTGTTGAACAGCTCATGGTACGTATCGTATTTCGCAGGTACTCGCTTCGCAAATTTAATGGCTTTTCACGGCATAAGTCGCTGATTCTAACCCTAATCAATTGAAAAAACTTCCTCAAAGCTTCCATGATATGCAGTTCACATCTATTGAGAAGTTATGTGTCAACAGATGCCAATGTAAAATTATTTAGAGACCTTTATTGTTTTTGTAGTGTCACGAAAGATAATATCTTCGGATCTGCATAATTTGCTGATTTCAACGATAAAATGCTTTCTCTATTGAGCAAAAAAAGTTTTCTCTAAGTTTCATGATGCGCAAATCACACCTTTTAAGATATCTTTTGAAAAAAAAAATTGCTTTTAATGGTGCACAATCCTGAAATGATTGTGAGATGTTTATCGTCTTCCGTTTTTTTTCCGTAGTTCCTCGATGAGATCTGAAAACATAATATGCTAGTGGCTATAAGCCAGAAACCACATAAGGAGAGAACTCAACTGTGTAGTGAGTGCAAAATGTTGAGCCACTAAGAAACGCAAAAAGAAAAAAAAAATGTAGCACCAGGAAAAGCCAGGTCAAAATTGAGTCGAGATCAGAATTCTATCTCACCCGCTCACTCACTCATCTCGACAACATAATTATAATTGATGATTATTACTATGTTGTCGCGATGAGTGAGCTAGTGAGTTAAACCATTGTGAGATGCTTATCGTCTTCTGCTTTCTTCCATAGTGTCACGGCAAGAACTGAAAACATAACGTGCAAGTGGCTATAAGCCAGAAACCACAAAAAGAGAGAACTCAACTTTGTGTCGAGTGCCAATGTTGAGCCACTAAGTTACTCGAAAAAAAAAATTAAAATGTAGCAGGAAATAGCAGGTCAAAATACATTGAGTCAAGGTCAGAATTCTATCTCACTCACTCACTCACTCACTCATCTCGGCAACATATGTGGCTTGGCCTCCTATGGGAGGCAGTAGCCACGATGAAAATCATAGAAAAGTTTTGTCACAAAAAATGAAGAGCTAGTATATAATATAGTTATGTACTTTAAAAAGTAAACAAACTGACCGGGCTCTGAAACTGAATCTTTAGTCTTCACCTTCTCCATCCCTCTTTCCTGTCTGTAAATGAAAAAAGCACATTTACATTTTGTAAAGAGTTGGTCTTCTGTTACTAACATCAGCATGATACCATTACAATTACCATTGAAATGCTTTTAAGTTGATATTAAACTGTGTGCATGTACCAGAGATGTCTGCAATAAATTTCTTAATCCATCCAATTACCAAATATATTGAAGCTTCAACGGGGGAATATAAGCAAATTTCAAATCTAACTTCCAATAGGATGAGAGTCTTAAAAATCTGACTCAACAAGGGAGAGCATTAAACGTTTGTTTCAATTTAAAATGAGAAAATCAATTTCTTTTTTCAATCATACTGTCATAATAAAAAATAAAACAGAGCTCTAGGTAAAATTTACACGACTTTGCAAGGTCCTCTTCAGATGATGAGAGAAATTAGATTAATTGGAGGAGTTGGAACGACTCGAGAGAACCTGAGTTTAAAATTTGAATAATTTGATGAACGAAGAACAAACCCTTGTCTTTCACTTCAAAACCGAGTGTTTGATAGTAGTGATCTTCACATTATCAATTTATGAAGAAATTACATGAAAGATGGGAAGTTTGAAAATTGTTTGAACATTTAATTATTTATCATTTATTTATCTAAGTATTTGTACAAAGCGGTACCAGAGCAAAGACAATAGGACATAAGTCCCGTGTTTAAAAGCTCCAAACATGGCTTTTAATGAGATGTACCTGGCCAAAAACTACTCATTGAACTTTCAGAAATTTGCTGAACAAAGCTCTCTGGTTAACAACATTTGTGAGTGAAACAAGTAATTCTTTCTTTCATTTCCAACCACACAGAAACATGCTTTTAAACGGCATGATGAATTCCTTCCCAATATTCTTGAAGTCTTAGAACTTCAACTGAATACCTGTTTTTGTACATTTGTAAGCCATACCCTAAGAGTGATAAATTATGAGAAGTATTCTAAGAGACAAAAGCTGACCTTAACTGTTTCTATCTCTCAGAGTCACAAAGCAAAACATTTTCACATACTGAGTATAAATTTGAAGCTTGGTAATGAGCTGGATGAACCTAGTTTAAAAGCCAAGTGGTCATTATCATTTACTGCATAACTACAGAAAGTTCAAACCACACCAGAAAAATTATTTTTGGTTAGAAGAGAATGATATTTTAGGGCTCGTTTATGCCCAGTCAATGCTCAGTATTAAATTATGGTATTTTTTCTTTTGGTGGAGGAGTTTAGAGCTTGTCCATACTTGGAAATGCAATAAATTAGTGAAAAGAATATATCCATTTTGTGGTATATCATTGGAAGACGGTTGGGCTATTCACTTACTAGAAAATAAACATATTTTTGGGATTCCCTTGACATTTTGAAGTAATTTAATGTCTGTTACTGTCAAATAGTTTAAAGAATCTTTCAAAGGCAACTCCCCAAAAAATATTTTCTAAGCCAAGACTTTAGGGATCTCATATATATCACTGCTTTTATATGGAACTAACACTCCTTAAGTACATGCCGACGTTGTAAAAAAATGTTATCTAGTAAATGCCTAAAAATTATTTTGTCTTGTTTAAGCGATGGATTAAGTCAAATTCCAAAGTTTTCTTGTTGCATAAGTAATTCTACAAGAGGTCCCCGCAATTGGTTGGAGCATTTAAATTAATTTTAATTCAGTAACAAAATGTTTCGAAATATCCAAAAGTATTCTATTATTGGACTAAAAATCAAACTAATCGCACATTTACCGGGAATTTTGTTTTTTGTTGTCTTTCAATGATTGAATACGGAAAATTTTGGTGATGCTGAGGGTTTGTCCATGAATACTCGCATGTGCGCAAAGCAGAATAAAAAAGAAAGCTGGAGAGCTCACTTGCTAGACCAATCAAGCACCGAGCCAATGATCATCGACTACTTTCACACAATCCAAGCTGTTTACATGTTGGATTTTCAAATTTAACTTTAGCTATAGCTCTGAGTTTTTTGGACGGATATCATTGAATAGTAATACAACGAGACCTGCTTGAAACCTGATGCGTCTACTAACAATAAACTCGTTAAATCAGCTTTTTCGCAACCTATGAAAACAAAACAATAGAGTATAAGCATTCACCCTAACACTTCATGTCATACGATTGACCAAATTTTCTTCCTAATCTTGACAAAAAATTATGTATAATTTAAATCAAGATCAGTAGACATTTCTCCTGAAAGCCTTCTTTTCAATTTTCTTCTAAATTTCAAACTTTAAGGGAAGGATCAAACAGCAACTCCTCGAGACTAGGGAACATATCAAAAGATGAATATCTGATTCTTTAGGCTGTTCCTAGCTCTTGTTTTGTTTTGTTTTTCTCCTTTTTTCTTGTCTATAGGCCGGATTAGCTTTTGGCCCAACTTCAGAAGATCTGTGCCTCACTAGACACACAGCTTTTAATAAAATCATCAAAATGAGATCTGCTTGATCTGCTAAATCAACTTGAACTAATTTGGCTCTTTGTAAATTTTTCCAAAACAATTTAAACAAACGGTGAAAAAAATGCAATATAGCTCAAGTTAATTACGTAGAGCATGGTCCCTTCCACACATGGCTCGTTATTCTAGAAATGAAGCGTGTCAGTCTCGTAATCCTTCATCGGCATTTCATTCAAAATCTAACTTTTACTCTCAATCTGCAGACAGAACCCCACACTAAGCGACTCCATTACCTTGTTTGAAGAAACATGTTGCAACACTTAAATTTGTGCAATCTGTATAGGCAGAAGCTTCTAGAATTAAATAAAGTTATTCAAAAACTTTGAAAAGAAATTGCTTCAAAAACCTTCTTTTATACAATGAAGATCACTTACTCAGCACTAAAAACTCAACAGAGAGCTCCACAGAAAAGTACATCTGCGCAAGGACGTAATGAGTAAAACCAAGCTGCTTAGAATGCAGTTGAGAAACCACGTTATTTAGATGATTTACAATGAATTATATAACCACATTAGAATAAGAATGCCTGTAACGGCAGGCGAACATCAAGGCCGAATGTATTGCCGAGAAAATCGCGACCGGAGAAAAATACCAGAACGTGTGGAACTTTACAGAGACCGAAGCGACCTTCACATCACATTTAATAATTGATCTCGTANGCGGAACTATAGAACTAATATAAAGAAATCGACTCAGATATCCACGCGGCCACGAGGTCGCGGTACGTAAAATCATAATGATCACACATAAAATGAATAATATATTAATTGAACTGCGAACTGGGCTAACCACAAGCAATAAGGATAAATTACAGATAAAAACGAACTTACATATCTGTCCCGCGACACCGTAGGCCTTTATAATTTCTTTTTGTAGACCACAGGAAAAAATGTCTACTCCACACACACGCCCATGGCATACATTGTGTATTTAAAACGCTTACCTCAATTAATGGATGATATGATCAGCTCAACTCAAAACATCGTTTAAACATTTGCAAGTCATATCATCTGCAAGTTACTGGTCTAATTTTCTGAAATCTATAGCTTAATCGTGTAGTGATGCGACTACCACGACATCGGCCAGCCCACGCGGCAGAAAGTCTATTTTCGCATTCCAAAAAATTACGTGACATTTGCTTCTAATTTTTTCTTTTCGTTGCCAGGCCCCCGATAGTCACACGAAATCATTGCGGAAATTGTTAATTTTTTAGCAAAAAGCAAAACTAGACAAAGTTAACGATCACTGTATCTAAATATACGGTTATATTTATGATATATATTTATTACTCTATCTATAAGTCGCAAAATACTTTGGGAAAGTGAAACATAGACCATGTAAATCGGGCTTTGAAGTCGTCGAACTTGAAAGAGGCCGTGACTGGCATTGACCGCTCGGCCAAAACACAGTCATCCCTTCAAGCGGCCTAGTCGTTTACAACATGCGTATGTACGGGTTGATGTGGAAAACCTGGGATCTAATGAACATTTTGACTCTAAATTCGTCCGTGTTGGAGCGAAAACATATATGTAAATCGGTGATTGAAAAGTACTTCTTCGCAGATGTTGGCGATGTTGCGCAATGCCCGGGCTCTTGTAATTTGCATTACGTTTGTGTTGTTTTGTGCAGTAGAGGCCGTACCAAACGACGAAGAAAAGAAGGAAAACGGCAATGGCGGGAATTACAGCCACAAAGAATATTCATCATTTCAAGCCCAAATAAACAAGTAATCTTTATATCTATAAATTCCAAATTTGTCATAAATTTATGAAATTGCGCCCGATTCATGTTCAGCAATTGATAAATGTTCTACATGTTTGTTGGCAGTAAACTTCTGTACGAATTGTACAAATCTTCACAACAAGAGGCTGATCGTGATGAACTCGATCCAGAGGAAAGCTTAGGCAAACGAAACTCCGTTTTAAGGATACTTATACAAAAATTCGGACAGGAGTGCAGAATTCCTAGTACAATAATAAATCATAGGCTGATCCAAGAATTCAAAACAAAGATCTGGCGATTAAATCAAGCACTAGCTAAAGCCAAAACTATGGGAGGCAATGGGGTGAAAAACTCTTTTCTTTAATTGGAGAAAGGGTAAATCTTCAACTTGGAATTTTTAAGATATATTATTATGAAATGGACTGTGTTATGCTCCAAAACGAAAACAATAAATTGAGGGGACAGAAAAGAAAGCTTGAAGATGATCTTACAGAGGAAAGGTGCAAGAAGGCCAAAATTGAGCAGAAAATAAAGGAAGCTGTTGCTAAAAACAAAGAAATTACTGGCAAATTTCAAAAGAAACTTAAAGGCCTTGTCCAGAAATTAATGAAACTACAAAAAGATAAGAAATCAAGGGATCCTGCCAAAAGGAAAACATTTGTAGACTATAGTAAAAGGCATCAAACTAGAGTTCGAAGCAAATGGTCACAGACTGTTAAACTTCACTTTCATTTCTTGGACTTCATAATTTTGTTGCCATTAAAGTTGAAATTTTCCATGAGAACGCTCACGAGTATGAGACTCTCACACTGGTTGATAACAATAACATTCAATACTCATCTCGAGCCGAGACTGATGAAGAGATTGATGACATAAATTTACCGCTGTACACAAAGGAAAGATTTAATATATCAAATGAAGTATACCATGAACTTTCTATGATTTGCAAGGAACTACCTCGGTCATGGAAAGTCAAGGAGACGTAAAGGCTTTAAATAGTAAATGGAATCTGTCAAGTACTCCAAATGATACTTGTGGGATTCAGCAGAGCATCAAGGAATGACTAAAAGTAAGGTTGCAGACTCTTAAGAAAAATAGTCCTTCTAGTGCCGCTTTCAAAGAAAATCATAACATTCAAGTTAAACTTTCTGTGGATGGTACCAATATTGGCCAACGACTACATGTCATCAATGTAAAAATGACTTGCAAGTCACTTTTAGTGTGGCTTTCTACAAGAGTATCGCCAACATAAACAAACTCTTTCACAGGCTTTTTTTCATGCAGCCAAAATCTTACAGTTACAAGAATGACATAACAAAGTCTCCATTTACATTTTGAGTTCTCTAAAACCACCTACTACCAAGCAGATCGCATAAATGAGTTATCGTCAACGCAATGTACTTCCCATCCTCTTGACTTTTTTACAAATCCAATATTTTTTAAATATGTTTTATAGATATCCATGTCAATCTGCATCTCAGTCTGAACCTCCGGTGACTCCCTTTTGGTTGAAAATAGACTAAACTTTATTTCGTGGCCGAGGCGGTGGAATAAAGCTGAAGCCCTGTCAGACAAGGAATCTTCACTTGGTATGAATCATGGTACCAAGCGATTAAGACTACTTTTTTCTCTGTCAAGTAAGGCATCTCCAACTCTCCATTCATCAAAATCACTTGAATATCCAATGAAGTCAATTTTCACTTTATTTTCTATTTTTTCTCAGTCAACAATCTGCAAAGAATATTATCCATATCTTAGGACTATTATGATTCACTTTGACAGTATAGCTTACGGTAATTTTTAGTACTTACTTGAAATGCTCACAAACAAAAAGTTCCTGAAATAAAATTATTTAAGATTTTTCAGAAGGATCCCAGTTAAACCATGAGTATTTGTGGCGATGAAAATTCCCTTTTAGGTTAACTTGCTAAATAGGGACCTAAAGCATCAATGACTTTGGGTGTCACGGACGTTTGCCAGAAGTGATTTTTCAGCTGTCGTTAGCCGTTGCTATGGATACACCATCCGTCCCTAATGAAAGGTCACGTCAACAACACAGGATCACTTAGTTTGACGTCCTGGAGAAAACGCAGAAATACAGGTGGATTTGAGATTAAAATTGCCGTACTTCGAAGATGATTTGATGTCATTCACTCCGATAACCACATTAAATTTTCTCGGCTGTTGTACTTGTAGTCATGTCAAGCTTGCAAGTTCCCGGTGAAGGAGGAAATTACGNGTAAAACTAAAAAAACTCTATGAACTTTGCCATACAGTGTAATGAGCATTTATAACACAAGCCCTTATTTTTATTTTGGTACAGAAGATTAAGTGATTAGACAACCACAGTCCCCACAGTTATCATGTTATTTTTAAAAACTTGTAAGTACATATAAAGCAAATTGATATTAGTTTTGTATTTGTCTGTCCTGTTATTAGCAATTAATTTCGTCCAAATCTGTGGATCGTGTCACCCAAACGACATGGGTATGCAAACCTTTTTAGCAACAGTCCCTCTGCGGTTGGCCTTAGTTCGTTGGTGGCAGCACAGTCTCGCAGGTAATCCAAGGGCATCTGCAAGTCTAACAATGTCCATTTTTCTTACTCGAAACTCCTGAAAACACTCTGCTTCGTCCATAGAATCGAGATCAAAACGATCGTAGTCGGCGTGAGGAAATGATGGATTTTTGGAGACACTAGCGTCACACAATAATAAAAATTCTTCTTTGGAAATAAAATGATGACTCCATG